CAAATACCGATTGATATAATTTTAATTAACTTTCAGAGGTCAATTTAACCTTTAATTTCAAATCAATAAGGTGGTAATTCTGCAAGGTAAGCCAATGTAAAATCTTTAGGTAGTTGAATTTGAGTTTCATGGTTACATATTTTGAATTTTAATTACAGGTAAGACGGTAGAGCTCTCCCCGATACTTTTGATTATAGGTTTTGACATTTATAACTCCCTAGGGATTACTTATTACCTTTATGCATTTCTAAATTTGATTTTATTGATTTGATTGACTTTGGTCAAAAATTGAAGGTTAATGGTATTAGGACTTCATCATTTATACTTAGGTAAATTTCATCATGGGTATCTGTTGATTGGTTTTGAATTTCAATCTTATTATACTTATATTGAGTTTTGCTTTCAGAAAGCTGCTTAATAATTTTTTTTAAAACAAAACTTGGATACTAGACAATAATTTTCTTTAAACCAAAAAAAAAAGTTCGCCATCTTGTCACGAATTTTTAATGACATTTAATTAACTTTAATAAATAATTATGTTTAGAATTCCAAAGCTTGTGTTTTTATTGAATGGGTTGAATGTCAGATAGCTATTGGATTTTGGATTTATTTTACTTTTTCAGATTTTTTTGAATTTATCTTTTTAAACAATAACTAATTAATGGAATAGTGCCTAGTTTGGCTATTCCTTGGTAATCAAAATTATTTATACAAACTAGTGGCGCCCTCTCTCTACTGTACCAACACCAAGGACCACCCCAAGCTAAACAACCACTGAGCAATAATCGAGCACAAATTATGAACATTCTTTTGTTTCGACAAAAGAGCGTTACAACACTCGCCCAAAAAATTTTGTGTGCACCTCGGCCGAATGTTCTTTTTTGGCCTCATCCGTAATTTGCTTGACCTCGGCTGCGCCTCGGCCGCAAATTTCTGATTCGGCTAAAAAAGATCAACTTTACGGCCTTGGTATACAAATAACTATTATTTCGACACTAATATGATATTCAGAGTTTCCCATTCAATCGAGTGATTATTCCTGGCACTTGATTCGAATCAAGAGCCGAAAATAATCAATAATTCAACAACATTGAAAAAGATCAGTTAATTAAATCAATTCATTTCTGATGCCATTTTGTAGTTTCTCATTGACATAAGAATTTAACATGGAGAAAAAAATGGCGAATTCTAAAAGAGATGCTTCATTGAAGAATCAATCAATCGACTGATTATCAAAGGCACCTGATTCGAATTAAGAGCCAGGAATAATTAGAAATTGAACATTGAAAAAGATCAGTTAATTAAATCAATTCTTTGACAAAATAATTTAATATCGTGAAGAACGTGGTGAATTCTCAAACAGTTGTCAGTCAGATCAATTAATCGAGTGTAAGATCATGTAATCGAAGTATTCCATTGACATAAACCAATTATACATTGCATTGAGAAGAAAATGGCAACATTTTTGAAGATTGACTTCATCGAAGATAAACCATAATGACTTAATTTCCTTCAACGAAAATGTTAATTGACTCCAAATCCCGTACCTCGTCTCCTGATCCCTGGGGTTCGCGTATCGACCTTTTTGTTGTCCCTTTTTCAAGAGCCCTTTGTGCAGGGACTGATCTTGTTTAATGTTTTATTATTTAATTATCAACCGATGTCGGGAGCAGATTCATAGATGTGTCACGAGTTTTCCTGTATTATTTGATACAAGCGGAAATTAAACTGGAAATGCTAAAGTACATTTTTAATTAAAGATTTATGTAGGTATTATTCATTTCAACTTCGAAATTTCTTTTTTTATTGAGACAGTGTGACATCGTTTTCTCGTTCAAATTTGCTTCCCTGTTTCTGGAATGTTATCCAAAGTTGCTAATTCAGTAATTGGACTCCTCCTTACGATATTAAATTTACTTACGATGATGGTTTTGGTTGTTTTGTCTGGACTGTCTTTATCTAGGGAAAATTTCTTAATCATTGTCATTACTAGTTGCAAGACCTGCATAATTTCAGGAAAATATGCGCTTGATGATGATATATCCAACTTGACATTATTTCGAGAAATTTGCTTCCATCAAATACTCAAAGTTAGAGCAGCGGAATCCGTCTCTGCATTTCACCGAATAGAGAGATATTTAAACGAAACGAAATGGAAAAAAGCAGAAGAATTATTGCTCTAAAGCCGCTAGCATGTTTTTACTCTTATTTCGGTGGAGCTCTAACTTTGAGATATTCGAAGGAATATCGCATTGGGGAGAACGAGATTGGTTTTGGCAACCTACTAAACAAAACAAGATGAACGGCATGTTGAGTAATTACTTTTCTGGAAAAGGGGTTTGCGATGGCATTCTCTCCTTGAATGAGAATTTTACCCATGGAATATTTAAATAATTACCTATTCATTATTATTATTAATGATGCGTAAAATTACTGTTAATTAAAATAAATTAGCTTCTCTTCAATAGAAAGGCATAAATTGATTTTAGTGCCTTTTAAGGGAATAATTAATTCGCACTTATGTGGGTAGTAAAGATGTCTGTGGTTTTATTATCAATCTCGTGATTAACAATTTATTGGGTTTGTTGCTCTAACCGCCAAGAAAACCGTTTCGGAAGGGGTGTTCAGTGTTCTCTTTAAAAAAGTATAACTTTGCTTGGCCACATTTTTGTGATACACCCTGTATAAGGTCAACTTGGTTAACTGGAACAGCGGGGTGACTGGGCCATATGCCAATTTTTAGCTTATTATTGAAATTTGAATTTCCCGCGTATGAAAATCCGTTACAAGTGTGTCTCATTTATACCCTGCATGTATTAGAAAGAACGCGGCCGGATTAGTTGAGTGAGAAAAAATAGAAATTTGATACCATTACAAAGTGAATCATTACAACAAGTGAGAGGAGTGTGGATTTTAATCAATGGTAAGTGATTAAAGTGAATAATTTTGCACTGAGCATGTTTAACCGTAAGAAAATAATGCTGTCAAGGTAGGCCGGGTTTGTTTTGAGGTTAGAATTTCAATTAAGAGAAATAGAGCTGGGGTTCCAGTTGCCCCGGTAAAAAATACCTACAGAGGCAACTGGAACGTATATGACTTGGGTAACTGGAAAATATGTTCCAGTTACCTGAAATTAACATAGCATTGTGCATTTTTGTTTGTTCTAGAGCAAATATGGTCAGGAATTATATCCGTAAAACCTCCAAAGGTGCAGACGGTGGAAGATACACTAAGGATGCCATGAAAAAAGCAGTTGAAGATGTTCAAAACGGTAACAGAACAATGTACGGTGCTGCCGTTTTCTATAACATCCCCAGATCCACAATAAGACACTTTGTATTTGGAACAAGAGGGAAAGGTATATTGTCGGTAGCAGGAAAAGGTGGTGGAGGAATATATGCACTGTCTAATGAAGTAGAAGAAGAACTGTCAACTGTGCTGAACACCATGCAGAAATGGGGATATGGATTATCAAAGGAGGAAGTGCTCGATTTAGTGCAAGCTTACGTGAAAAAAAATAGGCTACCGAACAAATTTAAAGACGACCGGCCAGGGGACCAATGGTTTCTGAATTTTTGTAAAAGAAGAAAGTTGTCACTGAAGAAACCTCAAGGAGTAGAAGCTGCTAGACGAAAACAAGAGAATCCGTGGACAATTTTTAGCTTTTTTGATGTACCTATTAGAAAAAACTTTCGAGGATCTTTATTTTCAGAATAAACCTGCACGCATTTTCAACTGTGACGAAACATCTTTTTCCAACGATCCTTCTAAAACAAAAATTCTTGGTAAAATTGGTGCCAAATGTACTCGCACTATTTCATCGTGTGGGAGAGAAAATACGACGGTTTTAGTGTGCTGCTCAGCTTCGGGCCAAAAATTACCACTTCTTACGATTTTCAAGGGCAAAAATATAATTGAATCTATGATTCCAGAAAAAGCAGATGCTTTAGAAAAAACTGCTGTTGCTGCCTCCGACCGAGGTTGGATGACAGCTAAGATATTTTCGGGGTGGTTTAGAAAGTGCTTTCTTCCCAACATTCTACCAGAAAGACCAGTCCTCCTAGTTGTAGATGGACATGTTTCACATATATCCTGCGCGTTAATTAAAGAAGCTATGGAGAATGATATAGTTATTTTAAAATTACCCCCCCACTCGACTCACATCTTGCAACCTTTAGATGTGGGGGTATTTAGAGGAATGAAGGCGCAATGGGACAAAACCCTCTGCAAGTGGCAAAGACAGAACCCCCGAAAAAAAATTCCAAAACCAGAATTCTTGGAGAAGAGTTTGCAAAAATGCCTGATGAAAATATAAGAAATGCTTTCAAAGCTACTGGCATATATAACCACGAATTGGGGGGCCCAGATCGTAAACAAATTTCGGAGGAGATTTTTTCACATTCCGATTTAGTAAAATATCAGAACAGGGACAAAAAGTTTGCCCCACAGGATAAAGATAAAGGTATTCCAAACTCTACTTCTGGTCAGACTCTTAATTACTCTGAAGCCAAGCCAGGATCATCCCATCAAACCGAAGCAATGCCAGGGCCTTCCGATAGCATCGAACCAATTCCAGGGCCTTCCCATCAAATTGAACCATTTCCAGAGCCTTCTTATCAAATTGAACCAATTCCAGGGCCTTCTCATCAAATTGAACCAATTCCAGGGTCTTCCCATCAAATTGAACCAATTCCAGGGCCTTCCAACAAACCAACTTCTTTCCAAGAGATTTTGGTTAGTCTGTTAGAAAACAGACAGAGGCATAATGAGAGTTTACAGCCAAGAAGAAAAAGAATTTGTACCGGCACAGAAATTCTCACAACCGAAGATTATTTCAAATGCAAAGAAAAGGAGGAAGAAGAAAGAAGACTGAAGGAAAGTAAGAAAAAAAAGATAAATACCAAAGAAAGCTTAAAAGTGAAAAAAGGGGAATCACGGTTTAAAAGAAAAATCCAAAATCGATACTAAATTTAACAAAAGAAAAGAAAGATCCTCTTCAGAAAGTAGTGAGTCATCATCAAATACATCTTTGGAAAAAGAATTAGAGCTAAACTATGTTGACGAAGAGTTCGATCTGATTGACGATGAGTTTCTATCTTTAGAAGATGAAGAACGTTTAGATGAAAACAGGCTCCATTAGAATTGGAGGAAATCGAAGAAGCACCAGGGTTACGTGAAAAGAATAGATCACAAGAGATACAAACAGAAAGTGTAATGGAAGACGAAATAGATTACAATCACATGCAAGTAGAAACCTCTGATTTTGTTCTTTGCAATTTTATTTATAATAAGGGAACAAAAAAAGAAACCCAAAAGAATTTGTATGTAAAATAATTTCAAAACCAATGAAGAATTACGTGTGTCTTGTCTACGGAAGAAGGGAAAACTTCTATATTTTCCCCAATGTCCCTGACATAGTCATTTTAAAGCACAACGAATTCCAAAGAAAACTTCCAGCACCCATAGAAAAGAGAGGAAGATTTTTCTTCGAAGAAGTTTAAATTTTGTGTTTTTATACATACATCTTACTCGTTTAGTTTATTTAGTAAGTACTTAATGGTTATTATACTTACCGAGAGAATTGGACTTTAAGTTTAAGTATTTTTATTATCCGTTATTATTTTCTGTTCAAGAAACAAAGAAAATTGGTTTTTTATTTTGTTTTTCGTTCATTTTGTCATTTTTAATAAACGTTATTTTTTTACCACTTAGTACTACTTTTATTGCATCTCCCATATTTCCCATAATTTTTAAGCAAAAAAAAAAAAATTGGTAGGATCTTTACATATACGTTATACTACATTCCAGTTACATCAGAATTAGCACTATTTGAATGCATTGCAAAATAGGGGTCACTGTTTCAGTTGCCTCCAAAATTCGGGTAACTGGAACAGTTGACCAAAAAAAATAAAAAAATCTGTAAATCTGTGTAGGACATTCCAATATAAAATCTGCTTTTGCACAACATTAGCTAACCCTTCAAAGTAGTTTACCACAATTTTTCAAAATAATTCCTCTTAAAATGACTCCTCTCCAAATATATTTTTTCAGACCGTTGTAAAATTGCGTCCCAGTTAACCAAGTCGACCTTACTTGTAACTAACTTCATTGCAAAGTTTCTAATATTACCTACAACTTTCACATTTGAAATTTCTGGGTATCTTTTCAAACAGGTGAGATAGGTGTGAGTGCAAAATATAGACAATCATACCTACTCTAATCTTGGAGAAATTGATGCTATATTGCCACATATTCTGTGACCTAATGATTTTCATGAAAATATCGTAGGATATGAAATAAGGATAATTTAAAATTGATTACCGATGCACGTTTTGCAACTTTTAATTTTTCACTTCAATTTATAGAATCTCCGATTTTCAGCCCGGAAACTTTTCCAGGTCGTTAGTGTGGCTTTAATCGGTTGGTGACCGAACGGAATGATTCCAGGATTTCCTTCAAATCCCCCTGGCCAAATTAGAGCGGCGATGCTTATTTCAGTATCCACCGGGCTTTCAGCTCTAACGCGATGCTGAATTGCTTTCACTTTTGTTAGATTTTTGAACGTAGCACAATTGAAATTTTAAGAAAATCACGGCTTTCAGCTTGATTACTGATTAGAGAGTATTTTTGTGATTTTAAAAGCTAGATAAGATAGGAAACAAATTGCTTTCGATATTTTGATCTAGACTTTTTAAGATAGGTAGGTTTTGAGAATAATTTTTTAACTGTTTTGTATCAAAAATTGACTCGAAATACTTCAAATTGCCCTTGTTAACAGTTTAAATTTACAAAGAAAAATTCTTATTTCTACTGAATCATCTCAAATCTTTTTTTGGAATTCTTTTCTAAGTAGGTGAGCTAAATAGCTCAACTATTATAATACACTACATGATATAGTTTAAAATTCGAATGAGGTAGAGCTCGCTTTCTAATTAATTATAAATGCGTTTATTTTTATTTAGCAAACAATGTGCTACAATAGGTATACAAATTTAAAAATAATGTGTTCTTATATTTTTTGTTTTCAAGAAAATAATTAAAATGCATCAATTTAACATTTTTTTATTATTATAATCATTTATAAAAAATAAATTTATACAGGGTGACCTCAAAACGAAACAGAGGTAATTTTGGGCGCCCCAAGAGATTTAAGTCCCCTTTTGCCCGCCATTTTTTTGGCATTTCCACCCCCCAAGGGTCCCCAAAATTTTAAATGGAATCAGAGGGCGGATTCTCATCCTCTGGTCGCAACCTATCGTCTCGACTCATTCGTAGAAAGGCAATGGGATAATCGGGTCGATAGGTTGCGACTAGAGGATGAGAATCCCCCACCAGGGGCCTTATTCTGTAAGAACAAACCGAACGGTTCGTTCCTTACAGAATAAGGCCCCAGGGGTCGAGTGAAGGTAAAATTTTGTTCAAACCGCTCTCGTACATTTTGAAGTATTTGTAGGGTGATTTGACGACATTCATGAACTATTTGTTGTTGCAGGTTTTCCAAAGATATTGGTTGGGTCGCATACATTTTAGTTTTCAAATACTCCATTAAGAAAAAAATTAACGGGCATGAATCTGGAGAACATGGGGCTCCTCTCCTTCGAATCCATTGCCCTGGAAACGTTTGGTCCAAATATTGACGAACCACTGCCGCATTAGTGGGGTGGCGCACCATCTTGGAATATTAGACAGTTTTCCATGTATTCGTTACCATTCTCTAGTATCTCCGTTATTGCTGGATGAATCCTATGATGAATCGCATCTTCTAATAATTCTAAGACATTTAAAAACTAAAATTTATGCGACTCAGCCAATATCTTTCGAAGACCTGCAATAATGAGTTCATGAATGTCGTCAAATCACCCCACGACTACTTCAAACTGTACGACAGCGGTTTGAACAAAATTTGTATCATTGTATGGAAGTCGGGGGTCAACATTTACAGCATATACTCAGGGGCGGATGGGGTAGGTCAGACCGGCCCTGGATTTCTCAAGCCTACCGGCCACCCTGTACATATGTATCTAAAACTCTTGAAATCTTAATTTTGAGTTATACCGGGTGCCCACGAGATTACTTTCCGGCTGCCATTTTTTTATTTATTTATTACTAGCTAATGACCCGCTGCGTTGCCAGCTTGAAAATACATTTTGAAATAATACACTTTTTTTCAAATTTTATTGTTGATTTTCTATTTTATTTTTTATTTTTTTTATCCGATACCAGCGTCGCTTGCCGCAGTGAGTTCAGTGACGCATTTTAAGCACTCCAGAGCTGTTCTAGAGCGCCCCGGATTGTTTATAGGCGTTCCAGTGTATCAGAGTTTCGTTACGCCAGAAATGTCAACTTACGCTCATGAGAATTCGCCCTAAGTGAACCACACTGTGTTCGATTGAGGCTGCACTCTCATCAACAAAAAAATGATCTAGATCAGAAGAAGTTCACTTAAATTGAACCCAAATCGATCTTATCTGGGTCAATCGAATTCAGCTTATATAGAGATACGTGGTATTAATTCAAGATCGGTCCAGCCGTTCTCGAATTCAAAAAATAATAAAGCTACGTCGGTTGAATGGCAAGCCTTTCATACTGTCAAAAAAAAGTTGGGTTATGTTGTTATGTAATTTGAATGAGTTTGTTTACAATTAAATTATTAATTAATTCAAAATTAATTTCTTTTTCCGAGATGCGTAACCTATCCACAAACCTTCCTTAGGATGGCCATAACAATCTACCAAAGTTTCATCGTAATCGGATAAGTGGTGTAGGAGCGCATACCCGGATACCCCGTGAACTTTGATTTTTATGGCAGCCGGAAAGTAATCTCGTGGGCACCCAGTATAATTTCGCGAATAACAGTCAATTAGAAATTATTTGTAGTTCAGAATTTAAAGCTACTACAAAATCAGGATATGATTTACCTCCTGAAATAAAAATTATTGTACCGTCGTGAGTAAAATTTTGTACTTTATATCTTTGCAATTCAGTAATAAACATTCCAATATTTCATAGTAATTTGTTTTTATTCTAAAGGATAACCATCCAAGGCGTCTAAGTTGAGTCAACTACACACCTACAAAGATAAAAAAAAATACCTTGTATTTAATATAAATATACAAATTTTGTGGATCCCAAACGACCATTAATTAGCTGATCCCAAGTAACATTTTTAGCTTTAAAGAAGTGTTAAGAGTTACTATAAAACCTGGAATAAAAATATTTCATAAAACCATATTGCCTTAGCAACCATTAAAGAACCCTTTTAAAGTTCTTTTAAGACTGCAAGGGCCCACTCCTAAGATTGCTTTAACAGCCTTTTATAAAGCCTTTTTAAAGCTTTGGGGTTTCCAAAGGCAAAGTTTTATAGCTATACAGACAGCATTCATAAAACTTATTTTAAGTCCATGATAAAACTATTAGGCCGCGGTAAAAAGTCAAATGGAGGGAATGAAGTACAACTGGAATTTTTTAAAATAAAAATGGCAACAAAATTTATAATCTTAAAACTTCAGAGGCTTAACCAAACTTTATCAATACTTCTACATAGCCATAATTTCCAACAAACATAGTTTAGGCCAATGGTTAAGGCTCACATCTGTAATGGACGATCTTTGATTTAATAACTATGAGTGATATACACAAATATAATTCGCAGATAGACGTGAATCTGTATTGAAATTTATATACAAACCCAAGTTTACTGATGAAAGTGTACTTCAAAGGTTCAAACACAAAACGGTTCAAATAACTTGTGGGCCTTGAAAAAACCCTAATTTTAACAAAAAATATAAAAATACTAACCTAAAATGTGACAATTTTTTTACATGTCTTACTGCTATTTGCACCGCTATAACTTAAGGTCAGCCTTAGTCTTAAGTGGAACTTAAACTACGATTTTGCTTTGCACCGCTGTTTAGGGTCCACCTCAAGTCTAGTTAAGTTAAGCCCCAGATTTTCTCCGCTTAGTTGGATTCTAACCTCATTTTTGGGTTTTGTTTTCTTTTTTTGACAGAATTCTGGTTGAATTTGATTATCGATGATTCTGTATTTGTAATATCCAAGGTTCCAAGAGCCTTTTCTCCGAAGACTACATGTTTAAAGCAAAAAAAAAAAAAAAATATGTTTATTTTCATAGCAAAAACA